CCTGTAGGCTGTAGGTCCTCTAGGTCATGTCTGACCTGTAGGCTGTAGGTCATGTCTGACCTGTAGGCTGTAGGTCATGTCTGACCTGTAGGCTGTAGGTCATGTCTGACCTGTAGTTTGTCTGACCTGTAGTTTTTGCCTGATCTTTAGTTTATGTCTGATCTTTAGTTTATGTCTTACCTGTAGTCCATGGCTTGGATGTCTGCAGCTGTGTAAAGATAAGAAGATATACAGTTTATTCAGAGACACTTGTTTAATATGATTTTTGCTGTTATGCTATTTTAACATCTGCAACTGTGTAGAAAGTGCTAAAACTGTTTTGCTGTTTAAAAGTGCCAGAGATTGTTATTATTTGTCCATTAGTGTTCAGTTTGAATTTTTTTCAACTATTTGGAAAAAATCCAAACACAACTTTCTGTAAAACACGTGGCTCATTTAGAGTGAGTTTGGTTTGCAGTACACTGTATGATGTGGACAGAATCAGTAAAAAAAATGCCCATAGCCTTATTTGGAGTTCACATGTAAGTCACAGACAGCTGAACTTTACATGACTGAAAAGGTATTTTGAGGCTTCTAAAAGTTTTCACTGAATCATATTTTAGGTTTTATTGTCTGTATTGTGCCATGTATTCTTTTATTAGTATTATTATTATTGTAAACTAATTATTTTTAATCCCACAGTCTGTACATTTCTAATACATCAAAATGTCTGAGTTTTGTCTTCTTGGCATATTATAAAAGTAGGCTAAGTTGTGGCAGTCCAGATCTTATTGAGGTTTAGAGAAGAAATATGATGATGTTGGGATCATGGTTAGTAGCTGGAAGTACTCATGTATTTTCCAGAGTCATTCTAGTTTGCATCTTTTAAATTCCCATTTTGTTGTTGATACCAGTGGGTTCTCCGGCTTCCTCCCACAGACCATAAACATGACTGTTAGGTTAACTGGTCACTCTAAATGTCTCTAGGTGTGAGTGAGAGAGTGAATGGTTGTCTGTCACGTTTGTCTCTATGTGTGGCCCTGTGATGGACTTGAGACCTGTCCAGGGTGTACCCCACCCCTCGCACTGTGACTGCTGGATATGGGCACCAGGGGCGGAGCCAGGGGGTGGCCTTGGCCAACACAGACACATCTTTGGCCACCCCATTGGCCACCCTGCTGTACACACCCCTTCCACAGTGGAACAGCATTTAGGGGTGTAATAATCCTCCTGAACAGTTGGTGGCAGTGTTTAACAGTTTGAAACATCACCAAGCTCTATCACTGAATAAGAGTAATGACAAGGACGTGATGGTTATCGTTATATACAGACCATATGCCTATATGATCTGATTCATGGTGTCAACTTTTGGACTTATGGTGAAAAATGCTTATTTTGTCACGATAACAGTGTCATTTTATGTTATGAAGGCTGATGTTCTGTGTCCTGATGCATCTCAATAATCCAGGTAAAAAATCAAAAGGAAAAAAATTGTATAGGTCTTCTGGACGGGTTCTTCTTTAATGAAACATTTTGGC